TTCAGTGACATTGCCTTGAGTTGATTTATTCGCCAATATTGACAACATTTTCTTTTCAATAACTTGCCTAGTCCATTCTAAATACTACTTACTATATACAGGGTTAGGCGATTGAAGTGTCACCAACTACACACAGGTATATCTGTCAAACTAATATTACCAATTACTTAAAATTAATACGAATTTATATCGTTATAAAACAAAAGTTAATCGAAATGGAATTTAAACGTGATAGTTTGATTGCATTATATTTAGCTAAAAGTTTACAATCAGTTCATGAGCTCAAGCACATCAATATACTATAAGTTTCTCGATGTGAACAAAATTCACGTCGTAGTGGTAATGAAATGGCCAAAGAACTGAACATATCCCATCAAAGCTCCGATATATATTGCAAAGCAACGAAAAGGTAGATTGGAAAGAGCAAAGTAATTGTTATACTGGCACGAACATGGCGAATTTCTAAACTTTGTGTTCTCTGATGAGAAAAATTTCCTTATTGAGCAGTTCATAAACTCTAACTGCTCAAAATGATCGTGTTTACTTAGCTGAACGCACTGCCGAAAATTTGAGACTACGAATGGCCACCCGAAGTAATTTTCCATCTCAAGTAATGGTATGGGCAACTGTGACCGCCGATGGATGCTTTCCAATCGTTTTTATCAATGTTAATGCGCCTTATTCTCGGAAAAATATTTTGGAAGTTGCTTTAGAGATGTGGGCACGCAAACATTTTGGTCCTAGAATATGATTGTCCCAACAAGACTCGTCATCCTCTCATAAATCTCTTGTGAATCAAGAATGGTTAAAAAAACATATTTCACACTTGATTTCGTCCACTCAATGGCTTTCGAACTCGCCAGATACAAATCCAATGGACTATTCAATACCAGATGTTCACTTTCGTGAAGCATGCAACTCATTTTTTAACAGTTTGAAGGCCACAGTAAAAGAAAAGGTGGTCACACCGAGCTGGATTGATCGCCTAAACCTCTACTTTTGCTCACTTTCAGTTTCGTTTTGACGAAATTGGTTTGAGTTCAACTCTGATGCTTTTGCTTAGTACCTTAACTGTTACCTATTTCACAAAATACAAACTTATCTAATGTGTAACTCCAAAAGCGAAAATGAAACATTTACAACTGAATTTCTATTAAATTTTTATATCAATTTATTGCTTAAATTTTGCATTGTGTGATACAAACCGTCATTTAAATATCTAGCTTACTTCTGATTTCCCGAACACACCCATTTGATGGTGGGTTTTAATATAGGCAGGCATTTTGATCTATTTTTAGCATGACGGCATATGTTAATAAAGTTTATTTTTTATATTGAAACCACCAAAAGCTAGTAAAAGCGCCAGAAGGCGCTATATTCATCGATTGTATTGCCAATGTAAAAATTACATATACTACTGCCATAGAAAGCCTGTATAGTTTTTGTACGTGTAATCAATTTTATACTAATAACTTAACAGTTTTAAAGCTTAATATCTCGAGATGTATATTATTTCGACATTTAGTTTAAAGGGGAAAGATGCTTTAAATCGTTGACAATACTAAGCATCGTCATCAAATCGAAAAACCCTTAAAATATATAGACGTAGATTACCTTCAACTTTCTGGAATGTCGAATATTTAACAAAATTTTGTAGATGACATGTTAATTACTCCCAATGAAAACGAAAATATTAACAAAATCGAGTGCAGTGTCTGACTGCAGGGTTCAATTTGTTTAACCAGAAAATTTAAGCATTCGTATAAGATTAATATGCACGTGTGCAGCACTATTTAGACTATAACAAGTTATTGCTCCAGGTTGAAGGGTTTATTTATCCGAATATCACCCACTCAATGGCCCACTTAATTGAAATTCAAAATTGCAATATAAACGTGCAACATTTTCCTTCAGTTAGTAGTAGTTGAGTGCAATGTAATCACATCCATCCAACACATGCACACCTAACCAATACAAATAAATGCCTGTTGGAGGGTGTATAAATTTAAAATAAATTACATACGTGTAAAATCTCATTGCTTATGTTGTAAGTTTACACCGCTGCTTGGCTTAGCAGAGCCTAAAGTCAATTAAGATAGCAACCTGCTCTTATTACCGAACTGCATCCTCTTTCCTGCGCTTCCTATACTATAAGTACCATACTACTTATAGGAGCTACAGTAGAGCTGTAAGACAAATGTTATGTTGACAACACTTTAAAACTGAAAATTTGAGCGCAATTTATATGCAATAACTGGATTTTTAGGGCTTACTCACAACTAATGTGTACGTAATATATTATTATTTTATTATAATATTGTAGACTATAATGCGGAAAAGAAATACTGGGTATATAAATAAATACCTTATACGATAAAGAGAATTTGAATCGGGTTGGAAGAAGTTAAAATTAATAATGCCAGAGCAATAATTATCAATTATCGTGTTGTGTAGAGTCACAATAAAAAAAAAATAACTTAATTTCTTCCAAAATTTCAGTGCTCTCTAAACATATTGTGATATTATGAATTAATTATTCACTGCATGCATATACTGACTTATTTTTGTATGTCAATTAAAATAATGTAAACGAAGAGCGATTATTGTTGTGAATATGTATGTGGGCTTGGTTTTAAGTCAAAAAAATTCATTAAAAATATGGGGGTTACTATTTATATTTTAAGCGTTGGCACAACATGGATTATTGTCAGATGTCAACTGTCGTTTCCATACGAAAGTTAATAAACGAAAATTTATTATTAAACATAACCTATCTTAGACTTATTTACAATGATTTGTAAATAAAGTGTTCACAAAAAATTGAGTTAACGCGAAAAAGTTTTCGTGCGATGATTTATTATGACTTTCGGCGTGGATCATCAAGACAAGAGTGCATCGATCAACTTACTTTCACATTTTGCGATGAAGCTCTATCCTTTACCACTGTGAAACGCTTGTATATTGATTTTAATAGTGGCCGCAGTTCTTTCACTGACAAAATTGGTATTCGTAAAGATCGTCCAAAGTTAATAGTTGTAACAAAAAACATAGATCCAACAAATCCAAAGCCAACAAAAGTTGGTCGCGCTCAAAGCACTTCGAAGCTTGTTTTTTCGGAAAAACTGGTGATGTGGCAACTGTACTCGTACAATTAATGGAACGTAAAACGGTCAATTCCGAAAGGTATACAAACATTTGTTTACCGAAAGCCTTCAGTAAAATATGGAAATCAACAAACGCTGTCGGACCACTCTCGCATATCTATCATATAAATCTATCAAGTTCATGCGCTATTGCGTAAAGTTAGTTTTATCCACCCAATTTCCACACAGAAGTTAAGTTATTATAACATAAATTTACTTAATTTATAAAGTTAGTGCATTATTGATTTTATTTACAAATATTTTGAAGCAAAGAAATAGCTATATTGTTTTAAAAAAGTTGAGTCTTACACAAAATAATGTGTTCTTATACCTTGTGATCAAAAAAGAACTTATTCGTTCTTTTTTTGAACTCCCGCGCTTTTCCAATCGGTAAATTTTTTTCTTTTCACGCTGGCAACACTATTATACACATTCTGTCAAAGTTTAACGCATATCGTACGATTAGTTGTTGTTTGGCGTCTATACAAAGAAGTCGAAAAATTTTTTCGTGTGGCGATTTTTAGATGAATTTCAATCAAAAAAAACTTCGTTGTGATGTGACCAAAGAGATGATTTCCAACGCACATAGTGACCCCACATTCATCGAACGCATCATAACTGGTGATGAGACATGGGTCTATGAATTCGACATGCCCACCAAACAACAAGCCACCGAATACCGAATGGTGCTTCGAAGGTGAGACGAAACCGAAAAGAAAACGCCAAAGTCGGTCCAAAATCAAGGTTATACTGACTTCGATATTCGTGGTGTGGTGCACTATGAATTCCTTCCGGACGGTCAAGCGATCGATAAGCAGTATTATTTGGCCGTTATGCGTCGTTTACATGAGGACATTCGCAAAAAGAGGCCAGATTTATGGAAGAAAAATTCATGGATTTTACACCACAATAACGCAACGGTTCACACAGCGTTGGTTGTGTAGCAGTTTTTGGCCAAAAACTCCACCAGTATCATCAACCAAGCACCGTACTCTCCAAATATGGCCCCGTGTGACTTTTTTCTCTTCCTCCGACTCGAATTGCCATTGCGAGGAACGCGTTTTGAGACCATAGAGACCATAAAAAAGAATTCGCTGTGTGAACTAAAGGCCATACCTTCGGCGGCCTATAAAACTTGTATGGAAAATTGGATCAAGCGTTGGCATGCATGTATTGCCGCAGGAGGAGAGTACTTTGAAGGCAATATATTATATTTACTCTACACCTGTTAGATATGCGTTATCTCTTGGTTTACTTAAGTTCAAAAAATAAAGCCGTACATAAAGCTGTGCTAAAAAAATAAGATGATATTATATGTAGCAATTAGCGCTTTTTAAATACTCTCCTCTTGACACAAATTATTTATATCCATGTTTTTTTCAATCCTATATATAACTGTTGTAATCTATTTCCAAAACAACGTTCAAAGTCCATAGCTATTCGGTTTTTATCTCCTCAATCACTTCGAAACAGTGTTTCAGGAGCGCTTTCTTGAGGTTATGGAATAGCTAAAAGTTACAGGTTTCGGTCGTTCGAGGTGAATTGTATCTTCAACACTTTCTCTGTTTTCTACGAACGTTTTATACCAATTGTATCATTCCAGCTTTTCACCAATCTAAAAGAAAAAGTTCCCCACGTATTTTAAATTAAAAATATCACTTTATTTTTATATCACGAAGTTAAATATAGATTTTAAAATTTATAAACAATTTTATTCTATATTTTGTTTATAATGTTGATACTTGTAATAATACTTCTCATTAGTGTGACAAAGGAACCTTGGAATATTTTTACATTGTAAAGCAAAAACCAAAAATTTGTTTAATAAATTTATAAAAAAATTTATAAAATATTTTTCTTTATTACTCATTCAAAATTTTTATTTCTTCTGTAAGTTGTGGAATTTCTAAATTATTTGCAAAATGTCTCGACGGGAAAAAGTTGCACATTATCTTCAAGCTATCCCTCAAGCAAGAATGATTAATCGTTTGACGCGTGAACAAATAGCTGATTTTAAAAGGGCTTATATGAAATATGACAAGGATCGTGATGGAAAAATTACAATGAAGGAATTGGGGGGCCTTTTGAAATTCCTTGGTAAGCAACCCAATGACTCCAAATTGCGTCAAATGTTCGAACAGACGGATCTAGATAGAAATGGGACAATTGACTTCAGTGAATTCTTGAACTTGATGTCACGACAATTGAAAAAACCTGATGGTAGCGAGAGTAAAGAACCAAAAAAAGACAATCGCTTAACTCCAGATCAGATTGCAGAATTCAAGGAAATTTTTCACATGTTCGACAAAGATGGTGATGGCCACATTTCACCTATTGAACTAGGAATCGTAATGCGATCAGTTGGTATTTACCGTAATGAAGATCAATTGCGGAAAATGATTGATGAAGTTGACATAGATGGGGATGGAGTGGTGGACTTTACTGAGTTTTTGATGCTAATGGCACGCTTTTCAAAAGAAACAGGCAGCCCAAAAAGTATTCTTAAAGCAAAGGCAGCAGCGGTTAATACTTTTATAGACTCTATTCCAAAAACAAAACAAACTGATCGTTTCACTAAAGAACAGATTGGTAAATATAAGAAAGCATTTATGAAATTTGATAGAGATCATGACGGTAATATCTCTGCCAAGGAATTGGAAACAATATTGAATTTTTTAGGTTCACCCACAACTGGGGTCAAATTATTAGAAATGTTTGAAGTAGCTGATATAGATAACAATGGAACAATTGATTTTAGTGAGTTTTTAAATTTAATGTCACAGCTATTAAAGAAAGCACCTAAGACCACTCGATTAACTCCAAATCAAGTAGCTGAGTTTAGGGAAGCATTTAAACATTTTGACAAAAATGGTGATGGTAAAATTGACCCTGAGGAACTGGAAATAGTTATGCGATCACTCAACATCAAAAAAACTAAAGCGCAGTTACAAGATATATTCAATGAGGTTGATTTAGATGGTAATGGAACAATTGACTTCAGCGAGTTTTTAATTTTAATGTCTCGGCAAATAAAGGAGTCTTGGAAATCAAAGACCGTTCCTGACAAAAAAACGGCTGGTGTTAAGCGTTTTGTTAAAATCATTACTGAAGCAAAAAAAGCTGATCACTTAACTACACAGCAGGTATATAATATCAGAAAAGCTTTTACTAAATTCGATAGTAATCGTAAAGGTAGTATCACAGAAAAGGAATTCGAAGGTGTTATGCAAACCTTTGGTACTAAACTCACTGAAACCCAACTACTATATTTGTTCCGTGAGTATGATTTAGATGGCAATGGAGAGATAAACTTCTCGGAATTATTGCATTTAATGTCAAAGTTGATAAAAGGTGACATTAAGGATAATATTCCAGCAAGAATGGCAGATCGTCTTAATCCAGAACAGATTTCTGAGTATAGAGATATTTTTAAGGTGTTCGATAAAGATGGTAACGGTTATATTACAGCTAAAGAGTTGAAAGATGTTATGGAATCGCTTGGAGCAAATGTTACCCAAACTCAATTGCAAGAGTTAATACAAGAAGTTGATTTGGATGGTAATGGAACTATTGACTTTAGCGAATTTCTAATTTTAATGTCAAGGCAGAAAAAGGGAGCAGTTGGCTACAGGATTAACGTTAAATCGAAAAGAGCTGCAGTTGATCGCTTTGTTGAAACTGCTTCTAAAAGAATGAGAATCAAACGTTTAACTCCAGAGCAGATAGCAAAATTCAAGGAAGCATTTTCATTATTTGATAAAGATTCGGATGGCAATATTACACAAAACGAGCTAGAAACAGTTATGCGATCTCTAGGTGCAAAACCTACGGCGAAACAATTGAAAAGTATGATGGATGAAGCTGACATAGATGATGGTGGAACAATTGACTTCACAGAGTTTTTGATATTAATGTTACGTTTGATGAATGAACCTGATGGATACAAGGTTATTCCAAAAGGAGCAAAAGCTGTTGTTAATCGTTTGGCTATGGGTGCCTCTGTACCAAAAAAGAAGACCCGTTTAACTCCAGAGCAGATAGTAGAAATTAGGGAAGCTTTTATGGTGTTTGATAAAGAGGGCACAGGTGGTATTACATCGTATGACGTTGAAAAAGTTATGCGATCATTCAATATGCATCCAACTGCTGAACAATTAAAAAGTATGGTTCGCGAGGCTGATATAGACGGTAATGGAATAATAGATTTTACCGAATTTTTAATGTTGATGTCACGAGAAATAAAAGTAATAGATAGTAAAACTACTCCTGCGGAAGATTTATATGGTCTAACAGCGGAACAAATTGTTGAATTCAGAAAACTTTTTATGTTTATCGATGAAGATAGCGATGGAACTATATCACTTGAGCAGCTTGGTAATGGTATAGATCTTCTCGGTATGCATATAACTGAAGAACAATTACAAGACATGTTCTATGAGGCTGATGTTGATGGCAGTGGAAAAATTGAATTCACGGAATTTTTGCTTCTAATGTCACCACTAGTGAACGAAACAGGTGAATATAAATACATTCCTAAAGCACAATTGACTGATCATTTCGATCCAGAACAAATTGCTGAATTCAAAGAATCTTTTGCATACTTTGATAAAGATTGTGATGGTAACATAACAGCCAAAGAACTAGGAATACTAATGCGATACCTTGGTACGAATACTACCGAGGCTGAATTGATTGATATTGTTCGTAGTGCTGATGTAGATGGTAGTGGTAAAATAGACTTTATCGAATTTTTGATTATTCTTTCAAATAAAATGAAAGAAGAATGTAACTGTATAAGCATTCCAAAAATAAATGTTGGTGATCGTTTATCTCCATATCAGATTGCTGAATTTAGGGAAGTTTTTACACGTTTCGATAACGACAATGATGGTTATATTTCAGGAAAAGAACTAGGAAGCATTATGCAAGCTCTTGGCTTGTATCCCACTGAGTCCCAGTTGCGTCAAATATCTCACGATGCACATATACAGTGGAAAGGAAGAATTGATCTCACTTCTTACTTCACGTTAATTTCCTACTATATGAAAGATATGGGTGGCTATAAACGAGTAACTGAAATTAAATTTCCTATCGCAAACTGTTCAGATAAGGAAATTCCTATACCCAAAAAAAAAATTCAACACTTCACTCCGGAAGAGATTTCAAAATTCAGAGAAACCTTTGTAATGTTTGATGTTGCCGGTAATGGTGCTATCACAGCTAATGAATTAGCAACTGGTATGCGGCATTTAGGTATGAATTTTAAGGACACTGAAGTACAGATAATGTTTAACGAAGTTGATGTAGATAGACGTGAAATAATAGGATTTGATCAGTTCGTAAAATTGATGTCATTCCAGTTAAAAGATACGGGGAGTTATGAAAAAACTTATGAAGCTTTTCGTGTTTTCGATAAAAATGGAACAGGTCGTATATCTATGAATGAACTGCGATGCATAATGACAAGCTTGGGAGAAAAATTAACAAAAGAAGAGGTAGAGGAATTGATACAAGATGCTGATATAGATGTGAATGGTCAAATAAATTATGCTGAGTTCATTGCATATATGATTTCTAAGTAAATTTTAATTTAAACTGTTATTCCATAATATAATACAGAAAGAAGAAATACATTAGATAAAGATATTGAATAATGTGTTTTGTATTTCGTTAGTTTTTAATATTAAAAATTAATTATGTGTACTAATATTTGTTCGTAAATTACGGTACATTCATTTATTAATGATACTCCTAAAAAAAGAAAAATGTGTAGTCATAATACAATTTAAATCACTTTCTTCTTCTTCTCTTATCCTTTTCTTCCAATGAAGCATTTTTCTTCTTCCCCCACTATCCCTTTTTATTAGATTCTGTAACTGATATCGTTCCAGAAATAATTGGTTTCTCTTAGCTCTTCCTTAATTGTCCTCCAAGTTCTGGCTTCCGCTTTATCATAGCTATGACTTTGCCATAGATTAAAAATTCAAAGAAAAATATAAATATGTAAATACAAACATTTGGAGAAATTGCAAAAATAATTGAATATAAAAATAAACAACAATAGTATGCAAGAATGATTGAATGATAAATTTAAAACAAATTTTATTTTACGCCCGCAATCGACTCGAAAGATATTCCTTAAAATGGTAATTTTAGCTTCGTCAATAAATATATGCACTCGAGACCATATCAGGTGACTACACGCTTAGGCTACCATATTCATTGAGATTTTTTGGGAGAGAAAAAGACGGCTTTCTTTTTTATATTACTTGCTTTTTATATCGCACCTGTCTATTGACACGTAATAATGTTATTTAAGGTATTCGCAAGTATAAGTAATATCAAATCAATATCTAAGAATTATAATCATTTAATTTTTTTCAGGGTATTCACTTTAATTTAGGTTTGCGTCCATCAACCAATAACTAACACATTTAGCTAATCAAGGATTTGGTCCTCAATAAACTCCAATAAGCAATACGAGTCCTTGCTTTAAATTACGTTGTGTACTTCTGTTTCTTAATTTTCTTCTTCTTTTTTTTTTGAGCACTTTTATGCAATGTAATCGCTTGGATGATCAACTGTGAGAAGAGCTCCGCGGAATTCTGATAATAAGTTTTTCAGATGATTTTATAGAAGCAGAGCACATAACTCTGAAGATTACAAGCAGTTCACTTTGATAAACACTCTGCATACAAACCCTTCTATATCATATGTTTATATCCTATCCTATCACTTTTTCCCAATATAATTCATTTTGCAAAATTGATATTAAAGAGAAGTTTCAGTTGATATTCCAGATTGATTGGTTTGCTCATAGGCATAGAATAAAGAAATATTTTAATTAAATCATTAAATGAAACAGAAATGACTACTATGCAAAATTTCGTTTTTAAATTGGTACATAATATTAACTCCGATCTTTCAGATCTTATTGATTTGAATAGAATTCGAAAAAATTATTGCAATGCACTTACTTTGAATGCAAGTTTTAAAGCTTATATCCTAAACTGTAAGTTTTTTACACTAAAAAAGGTTTAAGTTGATTGAACACAAATCTGAAATAGGAAAACATGTAAAATCTATTATAATAATCTATTATAATATCAAAATTTCGAGAAGGTCTTTACTTTTGATATACCATGCAGCTTTTAGCATACGTCTCATTACAATATTCAAATGAGTTTGAACTTTTCAAAGCAATCAAGTCTTTTAAACAATGCTTTCTGATTATTAAGATAAAGTAAAATAAATGAAAAGTAAAGACAAGGCTTAGATGTATGTCTTTGATTAATCACGCAAATGTTGTCTAAAAAATTATATAATTTCGAAAATATCGCACGAAAGTCGTTCGCAAATCAAAATCATGTTAACAGTTTTCTTTCATGGATGGATGATTTATTATCATGCAGTGTATTATAAAACCATTCCGCGCGGAGAAACTGTATTATGTGACCGAGATATTTGACCTATTCGCAAAAAGAGGTCAAAACTATGGCCAAATAATTCTTCGTTTTTACACCACAATTATTTATTATTTCGTTAAAAAATCATTGTATACACCTAATTTGTCAGAAGTGTGTCTCTTGGTTTATTTCTGACTTTAAGAGACTGCTCAGACAACACCGTTTCAGTACCATAGAGAAAATAAGAACCGTAACGATGCACGTTGTGAAGGTCAATCCAAAAATCAACTTTTTGAGTTGTTTCCAGGGTTGGAAAAAATATTGACGTAAATCTTTTATGTCGGAATGGGAATAGTTTGAAAGCGATGAAATAGAGTTAAAAGAAAAAAGATTTTTGAGGTTATAAATAATTGTACCTGATTTTGATCACACTGTTGTATGAGATTATTTAAACGATTTCAGCTTCTATATCGATTTAAACGATTTAAGTTATGGCTACAATAGAGTATCCGGAAAATGTTCTTTTAACACTATAAGGACAAAGAATGAATAATGAGAATCAAATAAAGCAAACACAACTTATTATTAAGATAAGGAAATTAACTTACATCCGATACATTTATTGTTTTTTAATTAACGTTTCCCATTAATATATAATTCCTGACTTTAATTACATTGGTGAATGATGTTGACGATTTTTTATTATTTTCTTTGTAAATATCATTTTTCTTTGTTATTTTTACTGTTTTCTTTTTAATTTATTATTATATGTTTCGTTTCGTTGTTTTTCGAAAAGAAAAAATTAAATTTTCAGAATATTTTTCAAAAGGGAAGAACATTCCTAATACCTGTAATACTTATCAAAATCCTTTAATGTCCTCTTATTCAAAACATTTTACATTTTTATGTATTTTAAGTTTCTTTTTTCTTTCGCGAATTTTTGTAAATTTTTATTAACGATTATGGAACAATGCCGCCAAATTTATACTGTGGGATTGCCACGTGTTCTTGTGTGAATTTTATTTATTTGAAAACTGTAAATCTTTTTAAGATTTTTTAAACTTAGATTCTTTTTTTATATTCATTGAATGTAACTAGCAACTTTTTCATCGGTTATTGAAAAAGTTTTTCTTTCTCGACATTAGGAGTGTAATTATTGTAAAATTTGTATTTGTATAAAGTTAAAAACATACAAAAAGGTTAGGGATTCAAAGTCGGGCAGTCAAAAAAAATATAAGCACATGCTTGTGATGGTATCTTAAAAAATTATTCTACCAATAAAAAATTTCTCTTTATATTTTAATGGATAAATCAGCTCTTTGCTCTAACAGTTAACAGATCAGTCTTGATTATCCAATTCTTGTGGATTTATTACCATCGATGCCTGTATAACCAAACACTTAGCAAATCACTATTCTATTAGACTTTTAGAAGTCTTAAGAAAATTTCTTTTAGGACAAAAAACTGATTTTCTTAACTGTTTATATAAATACAGACGCAGGCATTTTTAACCCTTTAGAATGATTAAAGCAAGTACAAAACGTAATGGTGGGAACTTTCACTTGAACTACACATATTTCCCACATAAGTCATTTTTGGATCATTCATAAATTTATATTTATATATGTACCACACATAAAAATATTTTAGCCAAATTAAAATAAATTTCTTTAATAGAACAGAACCAAATAGAATCAAATTTATTATTTATGTGTTAAATTTTTTAATAGAACTCATTTAACCTAGTTAATGTTTAAATAAAGGAAGCAGTTTATCATATATAAATTCATAGATGTAAAGTGTGTCCAATCAGTACTATATAGCTACAAATAAAGATTCTTTATTCTTTAATCAAGATTCTTTATTCTTTAATAAAGATTCTTTATTCTTTAATAAAGATTCTTTATTCTTTAATAATGATTCTTTATTCTTTAATAAAGATTCTTTATTCTTTAATAAAGATTCTTTATTCTTTAATAAAAAAAAATTTAGATGAAAATTGACAACTATGTTCAGTATTGTTTAGAAAAATTACTATAAAAACATTGATTTAATACATTTATCGAAATGTATTTTCAATTTTTTTTGTAATTCAACATTTATTTACTTTTGCTCCTAAGTTAGGGTTGTAACAGAAAGAGGTTTGATGTGTACATATAGTTAGATTTAAAAGGTAAGCGATAAAAACAAAAAATGTTATAAATAGTAAAATAATTATATATGTATATATGTAAAAGTTCAGCTCAAAAAATATTGTAAAAAAATTAAATATATGTACAAGTTAATTGTTAATACGACTGCTGAGTACCGACTGCTTACGATCGACTACTGCTGCCGACTACCTACTCCCGACTGCCTACTCCCGGCTGACTACTACTACTGCTACTACTTGACTGCTTAACTGACTTCTAGATGACTGCTTAACCGGCTTGCATAAATTAAATAAAATAAAACTTTTATTTATTATATTTTTTTTCTACTTAATCGAGCTCAAGTCGACTTTATTTATTTAATACCAACTTAACACTTACAATCCTTACTTAAGACTAACTTTTCAATCAACATCTCTACTCACTTTTTGCATATGCACCTGCATTACAAAATGAGGTGCAAAGCAAAGAAGATAGAGCGAACCTCACTCTCAGAGAAGTAACATATTTTTTTTATATTTTGTTCGTTAACTCATACAGCCATAGTCAAAAGTATTTACACAACGAAAGTTTTTGCACATATTGCATAAAAACATGTTTTTATTGTTGTTGTTGGACGTAAGTTGCAAAAATATTTTTTGTTGTTACTTAGTTTTATTTATGCAGAACCAAATAAAAAAAGAATTGGAAAGATAACTGTTCAGTTGACAAAAATATAAGCAACTGCGCTGATGCTTATTAGTTGTCAAAAGTATTTACACAAATTTTTTTTGCGTTAAAAGTATTTACACAAAACCTTAACTTCATTTTCTTCTTCTTAATTAATGAATTTTTTAAAAAATTTTTTATGCTTATTTAATTAATATAATTAATATTTGGTTACACCACCTTTGGGATCAATAACTGACCGCAACCTAGCTGGAATTGATCCAATCAAGTTGCGTATCAATTCGGACCGAATATTCCCTATTTCAATTATGCTATCACTACATTTTGGATTTTTATTAATAGTATTTTGTTGTTTTATGAAGTCTTAAGCATATTCAATGACATTAAGACCAGGGCTCTGTGCAGGCTATAAAAAAACAGCATGGTTTAACTCTTTTAAAATTGGATTAAGTCTGCATCCTTGATGACATGGTGCATTGTCATGTTGTAGAACCCAGTTATTGATTGGAAAAGGTCTATTTTCTGACGTTATGACATGGTTTTTTAAAATACCAATATAACCGGACTGATTTAAGGTGCCATTTTTCGGTACCAAATCTTCAAATGCATAGCATTATAGACATCCCCAAAACAAAACCATGCCACCTTCAAATTTATTGAGTGACTGCACTGCTTTATTCTTTCGGAGTTGCCGTAAATGCATGGAGTGGATATCAAATGAACCCTAGAATTGAAATCCAGACTCATCTATTCATAACACATTGTAACAAAACTGTATAGGTTACTTATAATACTTCAAAACAAATGAGAGAATATTTGATAAGGTCGTTAGAGTAATATTGCCTCTTTTGTGTACCACATATGTATTGATATTAAGTTTCCGCCCAGTTCTCTTCAAATTTTTTAAATTTTCGCATATGTTCTTATTTTTAACTAGATTTTACACCGTTTTATATAAAATTTTGCATAACTTTACTAAGTTCGTCGCCGAAATCCCACTCTTATATTAGGTACCAACCTTAGATCGAATTTCAACTGATAATTCCTTGGTTTTTATCATTTTCCTGAATAATTTCTGAAATTTTGAAATCTCTAAACTTGTGTAGTTTGTGACAACAGCACTTACTTAAACGAAATCCTAGAATAAATGTTAATTAATGTTTTGTGTAAATACTTTTGACGCGAAAAAAATGTGTGTAAATACTTTTGACAACTAATAAGCATCAGCGCAGTTGCTTATATTTTTGTCAAATGAACAGTTATCTTTCCAATTCTTTTTTTATTTGGTGCTGCATAAATAAAACTAATTAACAACACAAAAATTTTTTGCAACTTACGTCCAACAACAACAACAAAAACATGTTTTTATGCAATATGTTCAAAAACTTTCGTTGTGTAAATACTTTTGACTATGGCTGTATATATCTACAAAAAATGTTTAGGGAAAAGCAAATCTTAAATGATCTGATTTTAAGACTATTTAATATATATGAGAATATTGCCTTAGTTGATTGCGGATCAGTGCAGTTGAAAAGAGATTTATTGTCTCTGAAGACTGTAAGTAAGAAACTAAGATGGTGATTTCGTACTGATGAGTAAATGGGGTACTCAAACATAAAGTGATTCAACGTTTCTTCATTTTGTAAATTACAAAGTGTACAGAGATAGTTGATTTCAAGTCTGTGAATTTACCCATTAATACAAAAACGAGTGCAGTGAGTTGTTGACAACCGCAATTGGGCGATAACCTTTGCCATAAAAAATTGCTTACGATCAAAGAGGTAACAGGCAGGTTTATCATCGAGGGCTCTTAATATATTGCAATTCATGGAATGTGAGTTGGTGGCTTTAAAAATGTTTGTAAACTTAAGATATCTTTGGTAGCGTTCAAGGGTCGTAGTTCGGTTATCAATCCAAGTTGCTGCAGTCGGTGTTACCCACAAGTTTGTCATATTTACAACTTAATGAAAGCCATTAAATTGTGTAGCCCAATTAAATTCACTTGTAGAAGTATTATTTACGTGTAGGTAAATGAGACGAAAGAGACAATGTTTGGGGTATCTTGATTGGTCCATTTGAAAAATTCGTATAATAAAATCGATTGCGCGTTTGAAAACTCTATATAAAACTTTCACAAGGCCTAGTTCAAGTCTAAGGACTGCATTATTTGCAACTTGGGGGAGTACTAACAAGCGCTTGTAGTACGTTGACTGAACGATTTGTAGTGAATCTCAGTATCGTAGACCCCACAGTTCTGATGCATATAAAAGTGTTACAGATATAGTGCAGTCGTTTAGCCCGACCTTCCGAAGAGTCTGATTTAAATTTACTAATAGTTTGTATTGACGTACCGACCGCCATTTTCCCTTTTCTTTTGACTGTTTCTGCTGCACATTTGCCTAATGTGGAGCTTGAAAAATTTACTCCTAACCATGTGTAGGACTTCACGACAGAAATTTTGTGACATTTGTAGAAGAAATTTTCTGCTATTGGTTTTGCCCCTCTTCTAAAGTGGAAAATGTGGTTTTTTCCATGTTTACAACAAGCTTATTTTTTTGCAGTAGCTTTCAAGTGCCAATAAATTTTTTACAAAATAATAGAACAACGGCATCATCTGCAAAAAGCAGCATCGAAATATCATGTAAACCGTCAATATTGATCCCTTCAGTATTTGCATTCCTTAATTGCAAATATTGAATTAAGGAAGAACAGCAATTCTCAAGATCAGCAATAAACAATATGAAAAGGAAAGGGCTTAGAATTTCCCCTTGCAGAACGCCTTAACTGGTAACAGAGATAGGATCGGAGTCTTTTTGTCGAAGTTTGATCACGAAGGACGCCTTGTCGTAAATAGACTGGAGAATTTTAATTAAGCGCGAACATATACGTTGTAAATGAAGTTTTTGCCAGAGCAGCATCTGGTCAATAAAATCAAATGCCCATTTGAAATCAATAAAAAATCCGTAAGGAGAGTTGCTTTTTAGACGTGGATGTAATTGAATTGCTGTTTGAAGTGTAAAAATATTATCAGTACATGATCGAAATGTATTTATTTTACATTTATAATTTAATCGAAAAATTCAAGACATTTTTTAGTCTTTGTGATATTACAAGTCCAATTTATTCAAAACGTGAAAATGTTCTAAACCAAAGTATAGATAAATATCTATAAAATCAACAATCATCGTTCTGAAAACTTAGAATTTCTTATAGTATCGAATATACTTCTTAAAAATTTGCATTTCAATAGGTATGAAATTCATCTGGTTCATAATCTGGTTCATGAATTGAACCAGATTACAATGTTTTGTCTAGAAAGTGTGCATATTAGACGTAAGAACAATTCAATATCAGAACACAATCATAATTTATAAAAAAAAATCATTTAGGGGATATATTTATTTTTAGTTAATAGATTCATAGATGTATTTAGAAATCAAAAAAATCATAAGCTACCCATGATATACATTATTTCGTCTTAGTAGCACATTGAATCATAATTCATTTAAAAAGTTCAACTTTTGAAATTTGCTCTCTGAGCATACCTATTCATATTAAAAATTTAAATAATTAAGTAACTAGTAACTCAACATTTTTTTTGAATGTGTTATTATCGGCTGATAAGTTCATAAGACAACACTGTGGCAACGCCAATAATGGTAAATAAATAAAATTTTTAAAAAGTGGCAACTTTTTAATGATCCTCATAAAATTTTTAATATTTAACCGATTACTCATTAAGTTTTAGCTGTTTTAGTGACGCGATTTTCAGTTCAATGGAATTAAAATAATTTCGAATCCAATGAGTTATCATTACCATTATTTTTTGATGAGAAGAAAAACACCGAGACGGAAAAATCTTAACTTTGCGAGTGCTACTCGGACCCTGTTCCATCGAGACAAATAGTATTGAAGTGGTTTGCTCACTTTAAAAACGACCTGATTAGACAACAATCGGTAACCTCGCCCTAAGCAGCCAAAAACGCATCAAACAGCTGGCAAAGTTGTCGCATCTGAATTTTGGGATGCGCGTAGAGTATTGTTTACGAACAACTTTGAAAAAGACCAAACCACCAGTAACAATCGCATCATACCCCAACTTGTGTATTCGAGAGAAAAAAAATTCAAAACAACGGCGCTGTTTCCAAGTCATTGCCTCTAATAGCCAAATTAAATGAATTGCTTTCGTACTATTCATATTCACCAAAATTGGCGCTCACTCATTACTACATATAACAGACCTCAAGAAACTTGGTGTCTATACCCAGCAATCTATATAAATACTATTAGATAATTCATAAGTAATTTGTAGCTACGTGCCTCAATGGAATATATTAATTACAGTACCTATATACAATACTATACTGTGCATAAAGCACATTTTTTTTAGATTTTCCTAATTTATAAATAAATTTTCTTTCTTTTAGTTTTATATAACTTTATTATCTCTAAATAAGATTCGCAGTTGGCATCATAAACATTTGATTCCTTTTTGTGCTCAGGTTCTGTAAATTTTATTTAATTTAAATTATTTTTGCTTCTGAAATATATAATTTACCTCTATATGATGCAGATTTGATATTCCTGTTATAAAATAACCGAAAATGTCATCATATCCCGCTTTTAGTCTAGTCACATGACTTAATGTATGAACATCTACAGCTTTTGTAGAAATTAGCTTGGGACTTCCAAGATTGCGAGGATTCCAGCAAACAATAGCATTTTCCTGCGCACACCATACATTGCCCATCTTATCAGAAACTAGCGCTGTATAATGTGCGGGTTGGTAACCGTTATTCCTAATAAATGACTCAGCCAACGGCTTCAGCGATTTAAGCTGCCAAAAGGGTGCAAAATGTAACACTGTTTCAGGAATCGACATTAAAATATTCGATTCAAAGCGACGCATATAAACTTGCCTATCCACTTGAAAAATGAAAAGTTATAAATGGACCTATATCTATAATATACCTTAGATAAACTTACATGGATTTGGTGATATTCCAAGTATATCGTTGTACAAACTTTCTTGCGTTGTTAATCGACGCGTAGGTTTAAATAGTTCACTAGTCACGACATGTGAAGAAAATTTAGCTAAGCTAAAGACTGTCACTGTTGAATCGCCTGAGTTTGTAAGGTAAGCAATGCTCTCATTACATGCACGACTTGTCGCTAATGTGATTACATTAAAACTAGATGTAGAAGTGCTGTATTGGTTGAAGGGAATTTCATAACGAAATATTGAAACATCTCGTACCAAATCAAATACTACTATTTTGGGTGGGCATACTTGATAATGTTGTTCAGATGTAAAGTTGCGTCCACCATCTAATACCCATAAACGTCGGCAGTCATCTTCAACCTTAAAAAGATTTTATAAAAACCACATTGGATTCAGATAGCAAGCTGAAGGAATAATTTTTTAAATTACCTCTACACTTGTTGCTGTAACAATGCCTCGACAATTACCACTTGTGTGCCATTCCATATTAGGATAAGGTCTTATAACCGCACCATACTCTGTAGCATTGCCATCATCTAGAGTGGCTAATGTAAAAGGCATTGATTGGTTATAAGTTGAAATCGTTATAAATTTACGCCAAAATCCATCCGCTAATAAAATATTAGTTAGATTTCATGTATCATTTTTGTACATTATACTAGAGAATCAATGAACTCACGTTGAACTTCCATACAAAAATCTAGTGGTCTTCCATCATTTTTGGTTTTATGCACACCATTATCAAAAGAATCCCATTCTGCAATAAGAACTTCATTAGGAAGCACCTTCAGCGGCTGAATTATCAGCAAAATTCCACAAACATATACTATAATTCCAAATAAATTCATATTGAATCTTAATGAATAGCGGTCTGCGACAGAACTGAGCACCAAATCAACATTAGAAAGTTATTTAAAGACTTTTATTAGAGCTGTCAGTGAGATAAATAAGTTAAGATAATGCACGCAAACATATTTGCAACCATATATATATTTTTCAGATAAATATACATACTGGTATATGTCACATACATATCTTTCTGAAATAAAAAGTTAAAAGTAATTGAAATGAGTACCTCGTGTGTCAAAATATTTTCAAAACCAAATGAATAGAACAGCAAATAATGTTTTTATATAATAAATTTAGATCCGATATTCAACATCTTTATAAGATTTAAGAGATGTGTTGATATAAATAATATATTTAGACTGCAAATATTGGTTAAAGGTTATGACAGTTGTGCCTTAAAACTGCGAAAAACAGGAAAATTGACAGCAAAAGTATTTTTGTTTTATTTTTTATCTGCATTTTAAGAAATTAAATGTGTAAGCATTTATGACTATAAGAGAAAGATTTATTTTCACTTTCATGTATTAATAAAAAGCATCAAAACAATCGAAAAAACTATGTTAAGATCAAACTTGCCAGACATTGGTAAAACAATATGATAATATCAGTTAAATATTAAAAACTAAACTATATTTAGTAGGTACTACTTAAAAGCGGAGAATTAACTTTACATAAAACATAATTTTAAAACGGATCCTCAATATTATTTACTAAAGTATTCATAAATGAAATACTAAAATACTTTTTAATAATGGGCTTCTTGTACTAAACTAGTAAGCTAAGTGCATTTAGTCCAGTGTTTTTGCAACTTTTTGTCCCTTCTAAGGAACAGGTTTCTTCAATGTTTTCAAAATAGTGTTGTTTCAATGATTACCCAAGTCTCCAATTTTAAACTATTTTGGGATTTGTGTCCCAAATGGGTCATTTGACCCAAATCTGGCAGTAAGAGATTTGAGCCATTTCTTTAGATTCTTTTTATTCGAGAAATAATCACAGCGACCGGAATTATATCAGGCTTTCAAAAACCTGTTCACGTATATACATTGGTTTGCTTAAGCACTAGCTAGTAGTGACTCTGTTGAAAACTAAAAAATAATAGGTCTTCAAGAAAAATAAAAGTTCTTCATAATTAATAAATTATGCCTTTGCAAAAGAGAAATAATATAACTTAACAATTAAAAAACATTAAATATATTTAATTAATTCAATTATTCTACGGTATTGGTAGGAAACAATTTTCATGGCTGCGAAACATTCGTCAATGGACTCAAATACGAGAGGTTGGCAGCCTTATAAATATAGCTAGATGCAGAGAGCAATACGCAGAAATAGTTAAAAATTTGTAATTGTGTTTATTTGTAATTGTGTTTATTAATCAATATAGTATTATGTCATGTTGTATGATCACCAATATTCGAAATCGAATTGGCAAATAAAGAAGAAGAAATTATTCTACAGCTGGTTTATGATTTCGTTCTATAACACAGCAAGTGAATTTGTTAATGAACTTTCCAGCAAAATAACAAAAACTTCAAGTTGGAACATACAAGTCAACCACGGCTTTGGGTAAGCTGACTAAACTACATAGACTCTGAGTTTCAAATTGGCAGGGCAATTTTTTTTTATTTTTTATAAATAAATATAGAAAATAATTCCAAGACTACTGATGATAATGATGAATATTTGGCAATACTCGAAACAGCTATATGGTCAGCCAAAAATGTTATTCATTAAATATAAAAACTTTGTTGTGGCAATTTATTACTGTTTAAAAACATAAAAACCAAAATACAAATAAAAAATAAAAATAAAATTTAAAAATACTATAAAAACCAAAATTTAAAAAATAAATAATAATAAAACATAAAATAAAAAATAAAAATAAAAAATTAATAAAAAAAAAAAATAAATAAGAAATTACTAAAAAAGATCAGTTTTTATTATAAATTTATAACACTAAATTTCGACTTCATCTGAAATTAATTCCCAATATATTTTCCACATTAACTTAAACCATTTTACAAATGTCCAGAGACAGCGATTGTTTGTTTACCAACATTTACCAACATTTTTGATATGGCAAGCTTCCGGAATTCTGCAAAAAAATCAAGAAACAGAGTTGGAATCAAAACAGAAAAAATATGCACCATTTGATGCATTCATGATTTGCATACTGCAGTGGTTAAAATCGTAAAAGCAACTACGGACACAAATAATGAATTCCCAAAAAACCATTAAAAGCAGACGACTCTCCAAAGTAGAATTTACAAGTTATTTTACTGCAGAAAAAAGAAACAGTAATTCCAAAAGAAAGAAATACTTGTTTCCTTGAATGGCAAACATACCATAAGTAGAGCCATGGTGTGATTCAGAACGTTGCTGACAATACTCAGAGGTGGCGTGTATACGAAATTGTTACCAGAGAAATCGCAAAAATATCTGTTAAAACGTAAGCCTACCTAAATTTAGACAAAAAGCAATTAAATATGATCAGGCAAAGTAAGGGAACACGCACGTAGATGGAGAGGAAATACAAATTCTGTACTATAACCGGTTGAATCACAAAAGATAACTTCCAGCACGAAACATAAAAAATTCATACTTAAATTTGATGCAAAAATCTGTCGAGTGAAACTATTAACTCAATGAAAAGTAATCAAAGCATTTAAGGACTCTGCTAATACAGACACATACATACAATACACACATGGGCCAATAAATATTTCGTGTTGGCCATATAGCACAATGCCAGTGTGCAGCAGTTCAGAGTCAAGTTGCACATATGTCTTCCATTCAACATAACTATGTTCCCAACTTGACCTAGTATTTGACTGCACTTTGCTAGGCAACCGTGTACAACATTGCCGTAAATTATGAGACAAACCAATTGCCATACATACTCTTAAAAGAGTACTAGATTCTGTAGGTTGTGTTGTAATGTGGTTAAGACATTAGTTGTATTCTGTTTTTGCTGCCCAAATGTGGTAGTCAAATATTAGTCATACAGAAACACACAACCGCACAAAAGGACATACTGAACCTAAGTTGACCACTGGCGAAGATAACTCTTATGAGATGCCATAATTTGTTGTTATCTCCATACTTTATGTGCTAACAATACCGAAACAAGCACAACAATTACAAGAAGCATACGCAAACATATTATGTTGCACTTGCACTTTGTGGCGCAATTGTTGTCTTCTTAGCTTCACTGCAATTGCAACCAAATAACAGTGTGGGGAGGCGCCAACAAATTTTGTATGATTGTCGCACGATTCTTGCAACAGATTTTCATTTGCGTTGGACTTATTGTCAACTTCATATCGTTAAAATAGTTTATTCGTAACTAATACTACATAAATTCATGATATCCGCAATTCGAGTATACATGAGTAAATATTGGATTTATTTAATACGAATGAGACGAAATTTTTATGCATAATGCCATACTCGACAATTTAAGGAACAGATTAGCAGTCTATAAAGTAATACATTGATTTTTTCCTGATTGGAGATAGTAAAATTGTTAAAAAATTTTAAAAATGTTTCACGATCTGAACGAAATTCTTGGTGAAAACATAATTATCAAAAGCAGACATGGAAGATGGTTCAAGAAGTTTAAAGAAAACAGAGTTCGACTTAATATCAAGAATACTGACTCAAGGGTTCTATGTGGAGTATTTCGCCTTCTTTTATCATCTTAAAAAGTCCGAAATATAATGGAACAAAAACAAAACAACAAACAAACAGAAAGAAAAACAAACGTTCCCGAATTTTAAAAAAAATCAAGTCCTTCTCTATAACGACAATTAAGGTTCACATATTAAGCATTGTCTTTTAAATTTTGTAGTTAGTAAAGATTCAAAACTGCTTCCTTATTCGACATATTCTCTTAAAAAAGCACCAACAGACGATTACGTCAATCAATCGGCAAATAAACCTTACGATAACCACGATAAATACTTCATGTCTCTCTGTTTAATATTCAGTTCATGATGTATTTTTATCAAGGCTTCTATGGGGATATTTTTTGTTTCTGGTTAAAACGAACGTCTCGGTTGTTGGGTATGCAACTATGTAATATCCTTCGATTTTCCATTTAGTTCCGAGTAACCATATTGTATGTATTTGTATTATAAATTATATTTTATAATTATTAAAATCATTATATTCCTATTTTTTGCAAACACATATTTAATGAATTTATTTCACAAAAAAGCAAACTTCTAGTGTTATAAATAATAGATTAACTGTTAGTAACAAAATATAAATTGCAAATAATAAATTAATAAAATAACTCTTATTGAATTTTAATCTTTGATTCATTCAGCTTAAAGTTTTAAGTACTTAAAAGATATGTAGGTATGTATAAGAATATGTATGAAGGTACCAAAATAAATCGGTTTATTACAATAAATTTTTTTTTAATTCAATTATGAGAAATCGATATATATTTATTTCGATTCAGTTCCGGGTTTTACTTCGGTAAAAATGCCGTTTTTTTCCTGTTTACGGATAAATGTTCCAGTTATATTTATGTATGTATGTACTTTTCATTATTATTAAAGCATTTACATTTTTTTCCAATTATCCAATCATATCATCATTGATAATGACTTTAGACTAAAGTCGAAATACCGATGAAACAAAAATCATTATAAAATAAATCGTGACTTCTTTTTCTTAATGCATATTTTTAAGAACTATAAAAAATTTGACCAATTAGCCTGCAAAAATACTATATCATAATTAACAATGTTGAACTAATTAAAAATTAATTAAATATACATAATTATATATTTATAAATATAATTTATAATAAATATAAATACTTTAAAATAAATAAGTAATTTACCGTAATTAACAATGTTGAACTAATTAAAAATTAATTAAATATATATAATTATATATTTATAAATATAATTTATAATAAATATAAATACTTTAAAATAAATAAATACTGTATCATAATTAACAATGTTAAACTAATTAAAAATTAATTAAATATATAAATTTATATATTTATAAATATAATATGTAATAAATATA